TCTCAGTCACTCACTCACTCACTCGGTCACTCACCCACTCACTCACTCTGTCACCTGCCTCACTCACTCAATCACTCACTCACTCACTCACTCACTCGGTCACTCACCGACTCACTCACTCGGTCACCCACTAACTCACTCGGTTACCCACTCTCTCATTCACTCGCTCATGCCAACCCGGGCCACTCCCTACCTGCCTGGCTCTCCCCCCCGGCAGCACCTGCCACGGCCCTCCAACACCTCAACCTCATCCCTTGCTCCCTCCCCTCCCCTCTACCCCTCCACTCTCCCCCATCCCAACCCCCCCCCCCACCCCCCCATGCACCAGGCGGCAGGAGATCCCTTGCTCCGGGTGGCATCAGGGGCAGCAGCGCAGCACAGCGACCTGCTGCTGCACGCCCAGGCGGACCTGGCGCGCCTGGAGCGCCGCTCATACACTCCACGCTCTCACATGCCCCAAATTCTCCATCCCCTCCCACACAGCATGAGGCAGGACAACCCTCGCCCCGAGTGGCATCAGGGGCAGCAGCGCAGCACAGCGACCTGCTGCTGCACTCCCAGGCGACCCTGGGCGCCTGGCCCTCTCATTCTCCCCCATCCCCCGCTCCCCCCCTCCCCCCATGCACCAGGCGGCAGGAGAACCCTCGCCCCGGGCGGTCTCAGACAACACAGCAGCGCAGCACAGCGACTTGGTGCTGCATGCCCAGGCGGACCTGCCCCGCCTGGCACCCCCATAACCCCCATTCTCCCCCATGCCCCCTCATTCCCGTTCCCCTCCCCAGCACCAGGCCGAAAGTGACCCGTCCCCCCAGTCAGTGTCAGGCAACACAGCAGCGGTGCAGGGCGACCTAATGCTGCACTCCAAGCAGACCTGGCGCGCCTGGAGGCTTGGAGGAGGGGCAGTCGTGCTGGGCGCTGCACGAGCAGCCCCTCCCCCATCCCATGTCCCTCATCCCCCCCACGCCCCCCCCACCCCCACGCAGCAGGCGGCAGGAGACCCCTCGCCCCAGGCAATCTCAGGGGCGCCTGATCCCACGGCGCTGCACAGTGACTTGCTGCTGCACTCCCAAGCAGACCTGGCGCGGCTGGAGGGCGCGGGGGAGGGGCAGTCGTGCTGGGCGCTGCACGAGCGCCCGCTGCTCCTCCCCCCCTCGCCCCACTCGCCTCCCCTGCTCTGCTCGCTGCTCTCCGCGCGTACGAGCGCATGCACGAGGTGAGGGGGTGGGGGGGGGAGGGAGGGAGGGGTGGTGGGTTGAGGGGGGGGGGGGGGAAGGGGGGGGGGGGTTCTCGTCGCCCCACTCGCCCTCCCCCGCGCTGCTCGCTGCTCTCCGCGCCTACGAGCGCATGCACGAGGTGAGGGGGGGAGGTGGGGAGGGGAGGGGTGGGGTACTGGAGGAGTGGTAGTTGGGGGGAGAGGGGGAAGGTTAACGTGGTGATGGGATGATCATTGTGCCATGCATGCACACCATACTCTCTCCTTTCCATCTGCTTATTGGCTCCTCTTACCACCCGTCCATCTTGCTCCCTCCTCGCCCCATGCGCCTCACCGCATGCATCTCTCTCCTCATGCGCCTCGCTGCATGCATCTCTCTCCCCATGCACCTCGCCACATGCATGCATGTCTCTCCCCATGCGCGTGTGCCCACAGGAGTGTGTGGCGGGCGTGCAGAGCTGGGAGGCACACGCAGAGAAGCTAGAGGCGCCAAGAAGCACATGCAGGTGAGCCCAACAGAGCACCGCGTACGTGCCATGCATGTGAATGGGCATGCATGTGAGGCGCGCATGCTGGCAAACGGGTATGGTGTGATTCGAGCCTCCGCCTTTCTCCGCCTGTTTCATGCCACTCATACCTCCCTCCTTCCTTTCCCCCTCTCTCTCCCCCACAGCTAGCTACTTGGTGTGGTACGAATCGCAGAGGCGCCCCAGTGGTGGCGCCTCCCCCTACTTCACATCACACCCCCACTCAACTCACAATTCCCTCCTCCCTCCGCGCCCTTTCGCGCCTCACCCATCGCCCCCCCACAGCTACCTGGTGTGGTACGAGCCACAGACGCACCCCAGTGTGGCGCAGCGCTTGCTGTCACTGGTCTCCGCCTTCCTCTATGCACTGCTCACCCACCGCGCCCTGCTCGTAGACACGCAGGGCGACCTGCCAGGTCAGTCTCACTTTGAGAATCCTCGAAAGCGACTCAGATAAGGGCGCAGCATCTGCCTGCTGTCACTGGTCTCAGCCTTCCTCTACGCGCTACTAACCCGTTACCATTTCTATTATAATTACCATTACAATTTTTATCACCGCTACTATTTCCATTACCGCTACCGTTACCATTACCATTACCATTACCAGTACCATTACCTTTACTTTACTATTATCATTACCATTACCATTACCACTACCATTACCATTACCATTATCATTACCATTACCATTATCATTACCACTACCATTACCTTTACCAATACCATTTCTAGTACTATTAACATTACCATTATCATTACCATTACCATTACCATTACTATTACCATTACCAGAACCATTACCATTATCATTACCATTACCATTACCATTACCATTTCCATTACCATTGTTATTTTTACCACTACCATTACCATTACTATCACCATTACCATTACCACTGCAATTACCATTACTTTCGCCCCATCTCCACGCTCTCATACCCCATCTCCCCTTCCCCTTTCCCCCTTCCCCCTCCCCCTACCTTCTCTCCCCCCCCCCCCCAGTCTGCTGTGCAACCCCTTCCCGCGCTCCTCCTGGTGGCTGCCCGTTCTGCCTCATCACTCCCCCCCGTTTCCCGCTCTTTGCATCTCCCCCCCTCAGTCTGCTGTGCAACCCCTTCCCGCGCTCCTCCTGGTCGCTGCTCGCTCTGCCTCATCGCTCCTCATCCTCCCCCCGTCTCCCGCTCTTTGCATCTCCTCATCCTCCCCCCGTCTCCCGCTCTTTGCATCTCCTCATCCTTCCTCCCTCTTCCCCCACACCCAGCCTGCTGTGCAACCCCTTCCCGCGTTCCTCCTGGTGGCTGCCAGCAGGGCTGCCAGAGCATTTCCGCCTGCACCCCGCCACACCAGGGCGAGTGGGTCAATGGCAGCACCAGCAACCAGTACTATGCGGTGAGCTTGCAAGCTATGGAAGAGAGAGAAGAGGAGAGGGGATAGAGAGGCGACGGAGAGGCATGAATGAGAGAGGCGAGTGGGTGAACGGCAGCACGAGCAACCAGTACTATGCGGTGAGCTCGCACTCACCCACTCCCATGATGCCTTCCCACAGGCCCTGCCAGGTGAGAGGTGAGAATGAGGTGAGAGTGGGGTGAGAGTGAGGTGAGAGTGAGGTGAGAGTGAGGTGAGAGTGAGGTGAGAGGAGAGAATGAGGTGAGAGTGAGGTGTGAATGAGGAGAGTGAGGTGAGGTGGAATGAGGTGAGAGTGAGGGTGAATGAGGTGAGAGTGAGGTGAAATGAGGTGAGAGTGAGGTGAGAATGAGGTGAGAGTGAGGTGAGAGAGGAGTGGTTTGAGGGGAGAGGATTGAGAGGGGAGGGGGAAAGGAGAGGGGAGGACGGGATGGAGAGTTGAGAGAGAGGCAGGAGAGAGGTGAGTGGGTGAATGGAAGATGGAGGAAAGAGGGATGGCAGCGGGAGGGAGAGTGAGAGGGAGAGAGCTGGTGCTTCACCATGCCATGCCCGCCCAACGGCACCCACCACTCATGCCGCACATGCTTTGTGCTGCTGTTGTCTTCACATGCACTTTCCTCTCCCTCGCCCACTTCTTCTCTAATTTCAAATCTTTCCTCTTCTCTCCTTCCGTCCTGCTTCCCGCCCATCCCCCGGCCGTCGTTCCCCCGCCCGTTCTCCCCCGCCCGTTCTTCCCCCGCCCGTTCTTCCCCCGCCCGTTCTTCCTTACCAGCCACTCAACCGCAGGGACGTGGTGACCATCTACTTCGAGGTGAGAGAGGCTGCTGTTATGCCCATGCCTATGCACATGCACATGTACCTACTGCTTCCGCCTGTTCTTCCCCCACCAGCCATCTACGTTGAGGTGATGCTGCTGCCATGCACATGCACATGCACATGCACATGCACAGGCATTAGCACACAAGCCTGCTGTTCCTGCATCTGTACCATTGCGTTGCGAGTGCTGTACTTGCCCGGCCACCTGGCCCGCCCCACCTCCTCATGTGTTGCGCCTTTCTCCCAACCCTGCCCTCCCTTTCAAACCCATCCACCCACCACATTCCCCCACCAGTCACAGCGCTACCCATGGGACGAGCAGTTCTTCTGCTCCTCCATGCAGACCCTGTTGGCACCCCCCCCGCCGTCCTACCTCCTGCCCTTTGCCTTACTGTCCCACCTTTTCTCTTCCAATCCATTCACCCACCCCTTCCCCTCCCCTTCCCCACCACCCCACAGGCACAGCGCTACCCATGGGATGAACAGTTCTTCTGCTGGTCCATGCAGGCCCAGCTGGCCCGCAACGCCACGTGGCTGGCCATGCTGTGCGACCAGCACGTGCTGCCGTCGCTCCTCCTGCTGCCCGCCTTCCACCGTCCCCTGCACCGCCTCTTCCCTCGCGCGTGCTGCTGCACCCGCTCGCGCGCTACCTGCTGCTGCCCGCCAATGCCGTGTGGGAGAGGGCGCTGCGGGCGCACCAGGGGCACCTCGCTCATGCGTGGCGGTCCGTGGGCGTGCAACTGGCGAGCGGGGGAATTGTGGCAGCGAGGGAGGCGATGCGAGAGGTGGGTATGGGGGGGAAGGAATGAGAGTGGGGGGGGGGGGGATGCCAGGGGGTGCGTGCTGCTGCACCCGCTAGCGCGCTACCTGCTGCTGCCCTCCAATGCCGTGTGGGAGAGGGCGCTGAGGGCCCACCAGGGCCACCTCGCTCACGCGTGGCGCTCCGTGGGCGTGCAGCTGGCGAGCGGGGGAAGCGTGGCAGTGAAAAAGGCCACGAGGGAGGAACGTTCGGGGAAGGCAAGGGATGAGGGTGGAGGGGGATGAGGGCGCTGAGGGCCCACCAGGGGCACCTCGCTCACGCGTGGCGGTCTGTGGGGGTTCAGCTTGCAAGTGGGGGGAGCGTGGCGGTGAAAGAGGCGATGAAAGAGGGGTGGGGGGGTTTGTGAGAGGCGTGCTTGTGGGGGGGATACCAAGATTTTCCTACAACTCCCACTTCTGTGCCAGCAACACACCTGGCAGGCACCATCACATGCAGCCCGTCCCATCCCATCCCATTCGTTTCCCTCCCTTCCTTCTGCCCTGGAGTGCTGCCGCTGCCCCTGGCGCTGCCGCTGCCCCTGGCGCCCTCGCAGCTTGCCGCCTCTCGCAACCACTCCTTCCTCTTCCTCTCTCCCCGCCATCAACCCCCATCACCCCCCAGCAAGCCCTGGAGTGCGGCATGTCACAGGGCGTGCTGCCGCTGCCCCTGGCGGCCTCGCAGCTGGCGGCATTCCTCAACCACTCCTCCCTCTTCCCCCCTCGCCCCGTCTTCCCCCCACCCCCCCATCAACCCCTCACAGCAAGCCCTGGAGTGCGGCATGTCGCAGGGCGTGCTGCCTCTGCCCCTGGCGCCATCGCAGCTGGCCGCCTTCCTCAACCACTCCTCCCGTGCACGCCACCTCTCCCTCTCCTCCCGCTCCCTGCTGGATGGGGGCGGGGAGGAGGGGCAGGCGGGAAGGCACGGGGAAGGGCAGGGAGAAGAAAAGGGGGTTGGGAGCGGTGAAGGGGCGCATAAGAAGGCAGGCAGGGGCGAGGGGAGCAGTCCTCAGCGGCGGCGGTTTGGGCTCTTCTCTCGGCCACTGAAGGGGGAGGCAAGGGCACTGCACACCAAGGATGGGAAGTGGGGAGCAGGTGTGGGAGCGAGCAGGCAGAGCAGTGGGGAAACAAGCTCCTTCTCGCATGCCACTGCTGGTGCCTCTGCTGGTGCAGGTGCTGCTAGCGAGGGGGAACCTGGCAGCAGTGGCGGCGGAGTGGTGAGGGGGAGGGCGAAAGCGCGCGTGGTGGCGCTGTTTGTGGCGGCGGATAGCTTTGCGGCGTTCAAGTTCTTCAAACGCGCCTACGCCCAGTGGCCCACCGAGGACCACAGGTGAGTGCCTCAAGGGCCTCATGCCGCTCACTTGCGCACCACTCTACGCCATGCCTCCCACCTACCCCACACATGCGGTCGCCTGGGAAACCACACACCTACCCCTCACATGCGGTCCTTGTGGCATGAGGCGTGATGTCCTCCCTGGGCTGGCATGGCATGATTTCCCCCCTTGGGCAGTGTGTGGCGCGGTGCATGCTGAGGTGGAAGATGACTCGTTGGTGGCCTGCTGTCAGATTAGGTGCAGTGCAGCACCAATGCTGCCCTCCCATCTCTGCCTTCCTTCACTTCTTTGCCTCTCCTCTCTATTCCTCATTCCATTCCCACCCATGCACGGCATGGCATGATCCCCCCTAGGCTGGCATGGCATGATGTCCTCCCTGGGCTGGCATGGCAGTGTGGTGGCGGTGCATCCTGAGGTGGAGGTTAGCCACGTGAAAAAACAAGTGTTTTGAGACGTCTCAAATCAAAGCGTGATTCCCCCCCCTTGGCAGTGTGGTGGCGGTGCATGCTGAGGTGGACGATGACTCAGAGGAGCGCCTGCTGTCGGCCAATCAGATGGAGATGCTGCGAATCTGGCTGCTGAGCACGTGCCAGTTCATCATTGCCAGGTCAGCACGGTAGTTGTTTCTCTCCCTTCCCTTCCCTCTCGAATTCCTCCGTGCACTGCGTCTCTGCATCCTTGCACATTCCACATTCACTCTGCCAGATACGGTGCTCGCCCACATTCCCCGACCCTTCCTGCTCTCAACCCCCTCCTGCCACCACCACCATCCATTCTCCTTCCACCCGAATCTCCTTCCCCCATTCCCCCTGTCCCCCTTCAGCCCGGCATCAGCAGAGGGCTATCTGGCCAGCGGCCTTGCGGGCCGCCCACCCTTCCTGCTCTCAGCCCCTCCTGCCACCACCACCACCGAGAGTCACAACGGCGACCCAGCAACAGCAGCAGTAGCGGCAGCGGCAGCAGCAACAGGAGGGGGGGGACAGGGCGGGTGCACGCGCAGCTGGTCAGCGGAGGGGTGTCACTTAAGCGCTCCGCTCTCGCTCATATGCTCGTCATACCCGCGTGGGGACGGGTCGGCGGGGGTGAGGGAGCGAGGCCACGCCTCCACCGACCCGGCGCGCTGGCTGCCCTTCCTGCGCCGCTGCGCTGACCACCCGCAGGGTCTCACCCTCCTGCCCAAGCTCACTCACCCTGACCCGTGATGGGCCAGGGTGTGCTGTGCTGTGTGCGTGGCGTGGCGTTGGTGTGAGGGGATGTGGCGGGCACGACGTGAGGATTGTCTTTTCTTGACTGATGTGCTGCTGGCCTAGATGGGGTTGAGGACAGCACAGAACAGGACAGAACGGCCGCTAGCATGGTTGGGGAAAGGGAGAGACTGGCCGGTATAATGGTGCGGTAGTCTCTTTGATGTAGCAATTTTTTGGTTTGTCAACAAAGAACAATGATTTGGACCGTTTTGGAGGAATGAACTTCATTGGCCTTACGATACCGTACAATACATGCTGTAAAGGCTAGAGACTACGGTACATGCCTACGTATACACAGATTTTCACAGATATGCTCGCTGCTAGCTGCTGCGGCACCTGCTGACGCTTTTATTGTCTTCCTTATTGGACCCCCTTGCCTCGGCTCACTCCCACCGCCCACAGGGTATACGGGGGCACTGCTCCCTTGCAGCTGTGCGGCACACAGCTGCACAGCGCATGCGGGGGCATGTCGGCACCAGGCGCTGTGCCCTTATTGGTTGGCAGAGGCACTGACCACCAAGGTGGGGGAGCGTTTGCCCAAGGGGGGTAGTGAAAGGGACCACCGGGAACTGTGGTTACCCAGGAGGCTTGTATGCTCAGGTGGGGACTCAGGCAGGGAGGGGGATGGAGGGGAAGGCAGAGAAGGCGCAATCCGGTCGGGTGATGGCTGACGTCACATAGTCCCCCGCGGAACCTTCCAGGAACCCATCTCCCTCATCCCCCTCTTGCCCCGCACGCAGCAGCAGCCCGGACAGGTGCGAGTAAGTAAGATCCCTGTGCTGCCCGTCGGGGGTCTCCCGGAATGTCTGCCCCAACACGCCGTGGATGGCGGGCGTCGTTTGCAGGTCCATGAACTCGATTATGAAGTGCGCCTCCGCCTCCCCCATGCTCTGCAGCAGCGGGTGCGCCACGCGCGCGCGCACGTTGATCTCCGCCAGCCCCTGAATCATCACCGCGTATTGGTCTACATCCATCCCCCCGTCTGTTTCCTCCGCGACCTTCGCCACTACGAGCCCCCCCGCGCCCTCCGCGGCTGCGCCCACCTCCGCGGGGACGGCGACCTGCACGCCGTCCATCTCCGCCAGGGCGAGGAAGCCCTCGCGCCCGCGCGCCTGCTGCTTCCCCCCGCGCGCGACGAGTCGCAGCGTGTGCGGGCGCCCCTCGTGCCCCACCCACACCACGCCCACCTCCTTAATCCACGCGCGCAGCCCCGCGGACCCGTGCGCGCGGCCCTGCGCGCGCGCGGTGGGGAGGGATTGGCCGCGGAGGACGGCGGCGGAAGCGGAGGTGGAGAGGGGGTCCGCGGGGAGGGCGGGCAGGCGGTCGGGGTCGTAGCCGGACAGGCGGATGTTGACGTGGATTCGGCGGTCGCTGAGTAGGCAGAAGGTGTTGCCGAGCTGGCTGTCGGGGTCCAGCGTGGCGAGGTCGGATTGGGTGGGGCGGCGGAGCGTGAGTGGGGAGGAGGGGATGGCGGACGAGTTGCAGATGCCGCCCACCCTGTTGGCGGAAAAGAAGGGGGAGGGCAGGAAGGAGAGAGGTCAAGCAAAGGGTTAAACGCGAAAAGATTAGAAAAGGGTGGAGAGGGGCAGTGCAGAGGCGAGCAAAAACACGACGCAGGGAAAGGAAGCGATGCGGGCAGAACGGCGGTTCAAGAATGGGTGGCGGAAGGGCGGGCGGTACCAGCTCTGCGGGAAGTAGGGTGCCATGATGCGCTGCTCCTCCGCCTCTCCGCTGTACGGCGTCTTGAAGTGCCCCGCCAAGCCCGCTCCGCCGTCCGCGCCCAGCAGGTAGCACTGCGCGCCGGCCACGAACCCGCGCACGTTGGCGTTGCGGCGCTGCTGCGCGCTGGGGAACCAGTGGTACTGCAGGCACAGCGGGGACGCCGCGCACGCCGCGCAGCACCCCTCTAGCGTGCTTCCCGGGCGGCCCCGCACCACTTCCACGTAGTTTCCGACCTCCTGTTGCGGCAGGGAAAAAAGACGGATTTGAGCGCGAAAGGCGGTGGGAGAGGAACGAGGAAGAGGAACAAGAGACGGTGAGGGCGGTGGCCGACAGGCGATGAGTCATTGTAAAAGAGAAAATAAAACAAGAAAACAGCATCTGAAGAACTGGAGTTTAAGGAAACAAACAGCTAGGGAAGAGGGCACGGCCGAAAAACGACAGTGTGACAGTAACGAGGGCGCGGCAGTGGGATCTCGACTGACCTGGTAGACCTCGAGATTGACGGAGCCCGAGCCGTGCTGGTGCGGCACGAGGCGCCCGCCGTGGCTGTTGAAGGCGCCGTTGAACGACCCGATCTGCTCGAACCGCCGGAAATTAACGGCGTTGATTCGCGCTCGCTCCAAGCCCCGTAGCTTGCCGCACTGACAGCCGTCCAATGGGAGATTGGCGGCCGAGGCTTGCCGAGCGACGAGGAGTAGGGTGAAGAGGAGGAGCACGCGTACTAGGGACGAGGGAGGACTCGCGCGAACGGTGGAAGGTTTGGCTGCAGCCATGGTGGCTAGTCCTAGAATCTAAGACGGGAGAGAAACGACTGCTTTGCTCGGGACTGAAGCTAGAGGTGATGAGAGATGAGACGGGCGTAAACGGTGAAGATTAGCAGAATTGCTTTGTGCAAGAGAAATAGGTGAAGGTGGTTGGGGTTATAGAGGATGGAGGGATGCCTCCGTGCTCTAGACGTCAAGGATGCGACGACCGAGGGGATACAGTTGCGAGCTGTAATTTCTACCGCAATTATTGGACTTGCGTGATAGTTGGTGCCTGGCGAGTCACCTGGGTGCTCCCCTGCGAATTATTCTGCTAGAAGCCATGGATGGAACCCTATTAAACCACCCGGATTGCGACCTGTGAAGCCACCCGCGCAGCGGACCCAAACTTCTTGAATCTTGCACCCCGCACTGCCCTTCCCCGCATGACCTCTCCGCATGTGTTCCGTCAGGCGGAGGGCGAAATTCGTGGGGGGGCGGTGGCTTTCACAAAAGTGTGTGCGGTGCTGACGGCGGCACCTGCTCGCCCAGCCTAGCTGTCGGAAGTGTTTTATTGGAGTTGCGGGAAAATATTTCGATTTCGTTTCGCCTCATTTCGGAAGGCGACGCGTTGTGACCCATGGTCCGAGTGGGCGATTGTGGCGAGCGAGCGACGCGAACTGGGTTTTGGAAATGCCGAGCCAAGAAAAAATGGGTTTGACAACGGGCATGGCGAACTTCGCCCAGCCCGTCGCGGAGCTTGCAGCGCCTGTGGGGGGAAGCTTTGGCTTTGGGTTGGGGTACAGTAGAACTTGAGGTTTGCGACCTGGAGCGAAAGGAGGTTTTTCGCTGAAGCTAGAACGGATCGCGCGGGGAGTTGACGGCCAAGACCGGTGTGGTGAGGTGTTGGCGACAGCCACGGAGTATGTTGCCTAGTGGCGGGATCAGCGAGGCGAGAGACGAGCGTGGATTGGTGTGCTAACAGGGCGTAAAAAATGGAAGTGCACAAATCGGCCAAATACACAACTCCAAAATTGGAGGCAACATACAAAATATGGCACCAAATAAAACACATCACGTGAATTGTTGCTGCCCTAGTTGTGCAATGATCTACTCGTTGTAAGACCGCAAGATAACAAGGGTTTTTAAGAGCCTTTTTTTATCATGAATGAACTGACATACAAAATGCATGGGTCCACGGTCGTAATTTTGTGGAAGGAGTGAATGATTACATTAGCGATGGCCATCGTAACGAGGTCTATGGATATCCAGAGTCCGGAGGTTGAAAGGAGGTATTCATATTATCGCAGATAGGCCTGACGCCTTGCTGTCACGTCAACGGCTCTTCCTTGCAGCAAATGTGCACCAATACTCTTGCTTCATCACCGCAAGGTCATCGACTTCAGTCGTGGGTGGACGTCCTCATTTTCATGTTATTGTGCAGATCCTTCCCGTTTTGAAGCTGAAAACGCTCGTTCGAAGTGTTTTTTTCCATTGGGTCGCGTGGCCGTATGCGTCTGGACCTATTACCTGTCAGAATATTATGCTCTAGCCTGCAGTGGGGTGCTCTATAGCGAGTACAACCCTTCTAGGGTTAGCTATTTGTACCACCATTGTTGCTAGTGCAAATCCTCCTTTCTTCATTCTTACTTTCTACAGCTAGTTCTGACATGGTATCAGAGCTTAACGTTCCTGGCCTGTGGGCCCACTTCACTGCTTCCGCTGCTACTGCTACTCCCTGTCCGCCGCGCGCCCCGTGGTGCGCGGCGTCGAAACTAGGGTTTTCAGCCCGCCGTGCGCCCCGAGGCGCGCGGCGGTTTTCTGCCCGCCGTGCGCCCCGAGGCGCGCGGCGGTTCTCTGCCCGCCGTGTGCCCCGAGGCGCGCGACGGGTTCCTGCCCCGTCACTCGGCACGTCGCCCCCGGGAGGCGCTGCGACGGGCGACGGGGACCCGCGCGTCGCCCCCCGTCGCCCGTCGTGGCCTGCGCGCGGCCCGTACACCCGGCGCGCGGCCCGTACGGGCTGCGCCAGGCCCGCGCGCGGCCCGTACGGGCTGCGCCAGGCCCGCGCGCGGCCCGTACGGGCTGCGCCAGGCACGCGCGCGGCCCGTACGGGCTGCGCCAGTCCCGCGCGCGGCTCGGACCGCCTGCGCGCGGTTCGGGAGGCTGTGCCAGGCCCGTGGGCGCCCCGTTCTTCGCTGCCCCTGTCCTCCCCGCTGTCCCCCGTGCTTCTGAAGGCGCCCCACCCCTCCTTCTGCCCGTTCTCCTGGATTAGGGTTTGGGGTTGGGGGGTATGGGGGTGCAGCTTCTGTGTGCCGTTCCCTGCTCCTCCTCCTCCTCCGTCTCCCTGTGCTGCAGCTGCCGCTGAGGGGGGTGGACCTGTTGGAGCCGTCGGAGTGGTACTAAGGGGGGGTGAAGGGGGAGTGGAGCTAGCGGTGTAGCAGCGGGTGTGTGTCGAGGGATGTGGGACTGTTGGGGGAGGTTGAGGGGAGGTTGCCGTCGTGTCGTACGCAGCGCCTGTACTCCGGGGCACTCACTCCCGGTAGCTCAGAGAGCCGGTTGCGCCGTCGCCTGTGGGATCGTTGCTCCTGCTGCTCGTCTTAGCCGCGGAGCCTGTTACTCCTGTACTCCGGGGCACTCACTCCCGGTAGCCACTGTGTCGCACCAGAGCCGTCTGTTGCCCGTGTGACTGCAGCTTCAGTCGTCGCCTCCCATCTACTCTCCTCTCGCCAGCCCTCCTCCTCCGCACTTCCCCGTTGTGACTGCCTCTAGCTTTGCTCATAATTGTGAACCTTAAACTATTGCTTCTTGCTTGTGCTCAGAATGTGTGGTGACATCGTGATCCACCCTGAGCTTGTACTACTTTGCTTGCTCTGCTGATTACACCCCACTTTGACTATGGGGGTGTGTCAGAATATTATGCTCTAGCCTGCAGTGGGGTGCTCTATAGCGAGTACAACCCTTCTAGGGTTAGCTATTTGTACCACCATTGTTGCTAGTGCAAATCCTCCTTTCTTCATTCTTACTTTCTACAGCTAGTTCTGACATTACCAAGCGAGCAACAGCATGGGAGGGTGGCGAGCAGGATCGGCCGCTAATACTCGCGAATGAAAAATGACTACTGCACTTTCTGCACGCGTGCAGATCCTTCCACGTTTTGGAGCTGGAAACGCTCGTTCCGAGCGTTTTTCTTCTGCTGGGTCACGTGGCTGCGTGCGTTTGGACCTATTACCAAGCCAGCAACAGCGTGGAGTGGAAGCATCATCGGTCATTGGCATTCGCGAATGGAGAATGCATGTTGCACACGCGCGTATCCTTCCGTGTTTTGAGGTCGAAAACGCTCGTTCTGCGCATTATTCTTCAACCGTGTCACATGGCTACGTGCGTTTGGACCTATTACCAAGCCAGCATGAGCGTGAGAAGTTGGCGAGCATGATCGATCATTGGTACTCGCGAATAGGCAGCTGAACCCTTTCCAACCACCAAATGGAGAATCCCTATATGCGTAGGGAAAAGCATTCAACAACCTGAATGTTTATGCAAATTCGAATGGCCCATATTCAAATGCACCTACTATTCCGTGTAGGCGTAGGGAAAAGCATTCAACAACCTGAATGTTAATGCATATTCGAGTGGCCCATGTTCAAATATACCTAGTAGAGCATTTTCGGCTAGGTTCTTGCGCAAATGAAAGTTCGGCGCCGACGATTTCGGCTGTTTTTGCCGCCAAATGCTTAGAAAGCGCATGAATCCCTATAGGCGTAGGGAAAAGCATTCAACAACCTGAATGTTAATGCATATTCGAGTGGCCCATGTTCAAATGCACCTACTAGATCCTTTTTGACCAGGTTCTTTCGCAAAGTAAAGTTCGGCGTCGACGATTTCGGCCAAATGCTTAGAAAGCGCATGAATCCCTATAGGCGTAGGGAAAAGCATTCAACAACCTGAATGTTAATGCATATTCGAGTGGCCCATGTTCAAATACACCTACTAGAGCCTTTTCGGCCAGGTTCTTGCGCAAAGTAAAGTTCGGCGTCGACGATTTCGACTGTTTTTGCCGCCAAATGCTTAGAAAGCGCATGAATCCCTATAGGCGTAGAGAAAAGCATTCAACAACCTGAATGTTAATGCATATTCGAGTGGCCCATGTTCAAAAGAACCTAATAGATGCTTCTCGTCCAGGTTCTTGCGCAAAGAAAAGTTCGGCATCGACGATTCCGGCTGTTTAGGCCGCCAAATGCTTAGAAAGCGCATGAATCCCTATAGGCGTAGGGAAAAGCATTCAACAACCTGAATGTTAATGCATATTCGAGTGGCCCGTGTTCAAAAGCACCTAATAGATCCTTCTCGTCCAGGTTCTTGCGCAAAGAAAAGTTCGGCGTCGACGATTTCGGCTGTTTTTGCCGCCAAATGCTTAGAAAGCGCATGAATCCCTATAGGCGTAGGGAAAAGCATTCAACAACCTGAATGTTAATGCATATTCGAGTGGCCCATGTTCAAATGCACCTACTAGACCCTTTTCAGTCAGATTCTTGCGCAAATAAAAGTTCGACACCGACGACTTCGTCTGTTTTGCCGTCAAATGCTTAGAAAGAGCATGAATTCCTATAGGCGTAGGAAAAAACATTCAACAACCTGAATGCGAATGCATATTCGAGTGGCCCATATTCAAATGCATTTACTAGAGCCTTTTCTAACAGATTCTTGCGCAAAGAAATGTTTGACGTCGACGATTTCGGCTGTTTTTGCCGCCAAATGCTTAGAAAGCGCATGAATCCTTATAGGCGTAGGGAAAAGCATTCAAAAACCTGAATGTGAATGCATATTGAAGTGGCCCATGTTCAAATGCAGCTAATAGATCCTTTTCTGCCAGGTTCTTGTGTCAAACATTATATGTGTTGTGCTTGTGTAGGCTGTAGTGGGTTAGCCTATAGGGGGTACACAATTCTAGGGTTAGGTACTTGTACTCATTTCACTGCTAGTTCATCATTCCTGTCCGTTCATTCTGACATGGTTTCAGAGCAGGTCCTTCG